AGAGAGAGAGAGAGAGAGAGAGAGAGAGAGAGAGAGAGAGAGAGAACGAGAGATATAGAGATTGCGAGACATAATAAGAGAGAAAGGTGCAGAGAGTTTGCAATATCTATTGAAGGAAGGGCTGTAACAAAGTTTGTTAATACAAGTTAAACTCGGATGAGTAAAATAAAGTTACAAATAAAAAGAAAATAGTTAAATATATGAAAGAGAAAATGAAAGAATGAGACAGGATTCTAATTTAAATAAAAAATCGAAATTAATGCATTTTCTATACTCAAAACTTATTCACATATATCTTCTTCTCTAATTCTACTTAGTTTACTTGTGCAAAGAAGTAGACAAATATACGCCAACAAATTAACAAACGAATAAATATACAAGTCCTGGATGGATGCAAATGTAACGCATGAATGCATAAACAAGTCAAGCTCAAGTAATGTGTATATATATATGTATATGTACATATATATATATATGTATGTATATATATACATATATTTATATTATAACATACATATGCATACACCGTTATAATATTACGTGCAGCACAGAGCAAAAAGTATAAGTAGTCAAATAAAAAAAAAGTGAGTAAAGAGTATAACGAGGAAAAGAACAACAGTTTGCCAGACTAATGTGGCATATACTAAATCGGTCATCTGGCATTAATGCAGATGTAAATGCCAAAACAATTAAAGTGTTACACTATTCTCAACATCGGCAACATCGACATCAGCCTTACCCGGAGCGTGAGCCTCATCACATTATCATCTTTATCTTTATCGTTATCGTTTTCGTTTTCGTTTTCGTCATTATGATCATGAAAGTTACTTTATGATGAAAGATTGTGGCTTAACTAGTTTGTTTGCTAACTGAGCTGGTTACTATGAAAGTTGTTTCTTGTCTACGCTGTACGATGATGAAACATTTGTTAGACGAAAAACTCAAGTGAAACGGAAAAATGTAAACCGAATATAATTTTGCAATGCAAAAATCTCTACACACAAATATAAACCTAAAAAGAAGAGGATTACAAACTGAGAAGTAAAAAACCAAACATATACTTGTCCAAGTGGTTTAGAACTGTAGGTTCTTCATGCCTTTTTTTTTGCATTTCTCAGTTATCAGGATTTTTTTATTTCTTATTTTTTTAGGTTTACTAAGTTAATAATATAATGTCTATTATTGTAGTTGTTGGCATTGTTACTGTTGTTTTACCTAACTAACGTAGTGATATTTTTTTTGTTTTGATATTATTGAACCCGCACTTGGCAACGCATGAGTACGTCGTGTTTTGCATACCAAATAAATTAAAATCAACATTTTTTTTCGGCTTATCTATATGTGCGTGTGTGTGATTGACATATGATTATAATATATATATATACGTACAAGGTATATGTGTATGTATATACATATATGTATATACATATGTATATGTATATGTGTATGTATACGTGTTTATGCGTCTGAATTATACCCAATAAGGAGACTAATAGTTCGAAAAAAACTTTAATTTTTATTATTTGTTTATTGAAAACGTTTAATGAACTTTCGGATGTCACTTCAGCTGTTCATGTTGTTGTTGATTTTTGGTTTTGTTATTTAACCATGGAAAACAAAAAAAAAATGTCGATTTACATTTCCGGCTTCCGTATGAAAGCGCCTATAGTTAGCCACAACAGTGGTTGACATTCAGGGTCATTTATTTTGCTGGCAACTGGCCACTGTTTTTGCTTCTAGTTTTTTTTTTTTTCAAGTTTGTTTTTCACATAGAATCTCAACTGGAAAAAACTATATAATCTGCCATTTTCACAAATTCAACATTAGTTACAAATATTACGTTCGATAACAAAAAATAAAAAATAAATATGTGTAAAATAAATTTAGTTTTTATCATAAATTTACTACTTGGCTTGAGTTTTTTAACTGAAGCAGGAGTGTTAAGGAATAAGGAGGAGCAGCCTCAAAGCACTACGTTACCAACGCAAAACGCTACGACAACAGATTTTGTTACAGTCACTACAAAAAAGTCTTTAGCTCGTAAAAACGATGAGGAAGCCGCAATTTTGGCAGCACAAGACATTTTGTTTGACTCTTCGCCTTCGGAACTTAAAACGGACAAGCAAACTGTTCAAGTCGAAAAGTCAGCGAAATTGTTATTGTTAAGTCCTCCCAAGCTAAGTGATAAAAATAAACAACCAGCTGAAGAAAACGTTGAAGAACCGGAAGATGGTGAAAGTCATTTTGAAAGTAACACAGAAATGCAGATGGACAGTACCACCGTCACTAGTAATGCCGAAACTACTAAGACCGCCAATGTGAAGATTAATTATGAAAAGTCTGAGACTTCTACAGAAGCCATTACATCGGTAGGAAAAGCAGTAAAAGTACATGAAAAACGTGACGTATCAGCCAATCACATGAAGGAAAAGGACCAGGGCAAACCGCTTATATATATGAAACCAAAAGAAGAGGAACACGGAAAACCGCCCGTATAT